TGACATGAGTGATGTCAAGCTGACCATGCCCACCTTGGCCATGCCCATCTCAGCCCCCTCAAGGTCAAACACAATCCTGATACAGACCTCATGAAATCAAGTTTGACACTCCTGTTCTACAGCCTTGATAAAACTAAGAGGCTTAAAATGCTGTTGTCAGAAAGTAGCCAATTCCTTGGATATAGTTGACACTCTTTAAGTTCTAGAAATAACATGAATTCTACAAGAAGGCAAATTTGGGTTTCCTGCAAAAGGAATCTAGACTGGCAGAAAAAAACTGATGGGTGTCTTCTTCAAAAGATTGCTTCCAACCCCTCTGGCAGCAGTTTAAAAAAAAAAAGGATGGCCTTGGCAAGCACACTATGTGTCAATCAGAGTCCATGTGAACATTTCTCAAATGCCTTCCCACCTGCATTTCCAACTGTGGGATTTGGCTGCTTTCTTGCCATGAGCTATTAACCTTTATGGAATATTTTTGTTATATAAGGAATGGATCTTGAAAAAAATGCTGTCAAGACTACAAAGTTTCGGCTTGCTCTGTTTATGCCAGGAAGAAAAGGCCTAGGGAGTGGATTTGAGTTTTTGCTTTTTGTTTGTATTTATTCTCTTTTTTCTTTAGTTGTGGCTATTATTCAGCATTGACCTATAAACCTGGCAAGCATCTGGTATTTCTGATACTCTGTTTCCAGTGTTTATCAACTTGTGGATAAGGACCACCAGGGCAGGAGGTTATGCATATCAATAAGTTTCACTAAAATTATCAGGTTTCTAGCCAGATGTGCACTTTCTGCTTGGCCCATTGCCAGTACAATCCAGCCATAGTTTGTTCGTTTGTCCCATTTTGAAAACACTGAGTAGAGGCTGATTGTTTACAAAGCAATCAGCAAAAACATCTGCAACAGCTACAATACTATGGCAAATATAAAACCTCTAAAATAGCTAATAATTAACAAAAGAGGGTTGCAAGAGAACTAGCTCAATTAAAAAACAACCCAATATCTATAATTAAACTAATCTGGGTAATTGAGTGTAAAAATAAATGAATAATGACAATAATAAGCGATTTCAAAACTTTTTGGAAAACTCATTTTAGCCTATAGGGCCATTATTACTTTCATGTGCCCACTTGTGAAACCCACTTTTGGTCTTTTAATGCGAAAAGCTAAGCAATCAGAAAATACAGATGATTAAACAGCTTCCTTATTGAAGCTACATTCCAAAATTACAAGGGTTTTTTTTTGTAATTGGAATTATATTTTGCTAAACTTTGCAATTTCCTTAGATATTTTTAGAAACATGGCTTGGGGTTTCTGGGAGATAAAAAAAAATCTTACCAGAAGAACACATAATATATTGGTATTTATTCTATTCAATTGCTGAATATGCCTGCAAACAGTCCCCACCCCCCTCAAAAAAAGTTTAATGGCATAGATCTAATCAACTTTAATTCATCAAATTACATGGTTTCTAAAAATTATGCCTTTCATTCATTCTAATAGCTTTGACTTGGAGTACTTCATAATTTTTACTGTTGTTATAAAATTAGAATTTAATAAGGTCTAGGAAATGTATATATCCAGCAAGATATATACATTAGTGAACACAAAGTCTCCATTCAAGAGGCTTTGTTTCTGGGGCAATTTGTAGAGCAATTTCCATCCTTTATTCACCAAATCTTAACAAGATGAGATACTGATGTTTTCAATTTACAGCCCTGGAGTGTTTTCCAATCTCTTCCCCCCCCCCCCCCCTTCTCTCACACTCCTGCTTACCAGGAAAAAAAGTCTATTGAAAAGAGAATAACTTCATTATTCAGTCTTCCAACCAGAAGCATGCAACTCAGGTTTCCCAATGGTTAATACAATTTTTAGGCAGATGGACGGGTTTTCCCGAAATTACTACTTTCCATGCCTAACAACTTTGCACTGTGTACACTTTTGAAAGACTCAAACTTTATTTTCTGGTCCGTGTTTCTATTGGAATATTGCTCACAATTAAATCTTTGTAGTGGCAGAATAGAAAAATTGAGGATATTACAATTTTTTATTTTGTGTATGGTTTATATTTGTATCCCGTTTCTCTCAGGATCAGCCTTATCTTCAGTAAAGTTGCCTTTGTCATTATGCCTGTTCAGGCTCTGGTTCTGACTTTCATTAAATTGCAAATGGTCCACAACGCCTGGGGTTCCAAGTCACCAACTTGGTTTCTGTCCCACTTGAGTCGATGTTTAAAAAAAATATTTTTAAAAGGTATAAAATGCATTGTTGTTGTTTTTTAAAGCATACAGGAAACTGACAAACAGCCAAGCAAAATACTAATTTCTAGCATCACCTTTGTTGCCCACAATGCAGTGAACATTCTGAAAAACAAACGGGGGTGCAGATTTTCCTAAGTCTACCACCACAACTGAACCCCAAATTTATGTTGCTAAGCTAGATAGTTGTTAAGTTAATTTTGCCTCATTTTACAACCTTTCCTGCCAGAGTTGTTAAGTGAATCACTGCAGTTGTTAAGTCAGTAACACAATTGTTAAGTGAACCTGGCTTCCCCCTTGATTTTGCTTGTCAGAAGATCGCAAAAGTTGACCACATGGCCCTGGAACACTGCAACCGTCATAAATACAGATCAGTTGCCAAGTGTCCGGATTTTGATCATGTGAACACGCAACAGTCATAAGCGTGAAAAACAGTCACAAGTCACTTTTTTTCAGTGCTGTTGTGACTTTGAATGGTCATTAAATGAATGGTTGTAAGTCGAAGACTACCTGTACTGAGGGAACATGCCAACAGTTGTCTTTTGTAACTGATCTCACTCAATATCCTATTCAATTAATAAATATACTATTCAATTAATAAATTGAATGGTATATTAATAAAAGCCATTCCCAAATAGCAGCCATGTTATGAGAATGAACTAGCTTCAAAAAAAAGGGAGCCCTTGAATGCATATTTCTATCCGGATTTATTAGGAGCCTAAGATGAATGATACATTTCATTTTTAATAACTATTTTTTTCATAGCCTTACTGAAACTATCTTTCCTTACTCTCAATATCTGCTATGGCTAAACTGCATCCAAATTAATCATACAGTATATACTTGTGGGTAAGCCAAGAATTTCAGCTGCTTAAAATACATCTTAACACTTGGGTCTGGCTTCTCTGCAGATGGGCTTATCCTCAATTAAATACAATAGTTTTTTTTCCTCAGCTTTTTAAAAGTAACTGGATATCCCGTATATATTCACAGATAAGCCTATCCACTGATAAGCAGACCCTTGATTTTTTAAATTAATCTCACTTATTTGTATTTGTGAACCACACATGTGAAGTAATTAATTGCTATAACAATTAAGGTAAAAGAGATATTAACTTGTATCATAATGTTAAATTGTGATGTTTAAACAACTTAAAGTTACTTGACAAGTTGATATACGGTCCTAAACTCCTGGATTGCGGCCTATTCACAACCAGGCCACATGAGCAGTGGGCCGGCTAGTGTGCACACATGTGTGCAGTTCAACTTGAAAAAGTCAAGCTGCATGCACACGCAAGTGCGTGCTGGTCCGCTGCTTGCACAAGTTGAGCTGCGCACATGCATGTGCACTGGCCTGCCACTCATGTGGCCTGATACCCCTCTCCCCTTCTCCCCGCTGGGCCGCCAAGCCGCAAACATTCGGGACCGCTGCTAAAATGTACTTATTCTGTAGTTTTATCAATATTTCATTGCCTCATAGGTTTGTTTCATGATCAAATTCAGACACACACCAAAACCCTCCATCACAAGCCACTTTTTGCAAAGATAGAAAGAAATGAACTAAGAAATTCTACAATCTGCATTGAAAGTAAAAGAGCACAAATGCTCTTGGCAAGCACCCATTTTCATCTTAAGCACACACAAAAAGAAGTACACACAAAAAGAAGTTTTCCAAGTGGTTGTATATGGTACATTTCTCACACAATTCACATAATGATTAATCATCATCATCTCACACAAATCACAATTATTATGCCCAGATTTTTCTTACCTCCATTCTACAGGAACAGGCAGGAGGTTCATTGAAATGAACAGTTGAGTTGGGGAAAGATAAGGAAATTGTCAGCACAATTTGAATTGTACTAAAAAAATCTATTAATATATTTATGGATACAAATAAGTTTGAAAGTACTTGACCACATTTTCCTTTTAGTTAGTAGCTGTCAGAAAACATACACTGCAAACACAGTCCAAAAGGATAATTTGATAAAATAGCCACAAAAAACAAATGAGGCTCCACTGGAGCAGAAATGCAGAAAATTAATTATTCTAGTGGTTAAAGCTGGAAGAGAGCAAAATATGATAATGGGGAGGAAATATTTAGAGGCTTTTTGAAGTATGGCATACATGAACAACTACCACATGGTTAAGATTTGCATGGAGGAATGGATTTCATTAAAGTGTCCCCAGTGTGGTAAGGCTGCAAATCACCATTCCATCATCTTTTATGAGAGTGTCACATTAAAAAGAAATCAGACTAAGTTCATCATGATTTTCCATCCTCAAAGAGTTATGTACATGGGTCCTGGTGAATAAAGAACATTTTGGAGTTCTGTTTTCATTGGAGACCAACATACTACCAACATAAATATTATACTCCAAATGATGAAAGCTCACTGAACTATTTCCGCCTGGCCATTAGGGGATATTAATATAACACTTCATCACCCTTCTTTCTTCCTTCCTTCCTCTGGATGAATTTACAAAGTGTTTTTTAGGACAGTGTAATGAAGATGGCAGCAAATATGTAGGTAGCAGAAGTTCTGCCAATATCTGAAATATATTGTAAGGGGAAATAAATTCTTTAAATTGTGTTTATCCTGGAGGAAATTACAAGGAAGTTAAAGCCTCTCACATTGTGTGCTTTTCACATTCTGTGAGGTTCCTGAATACGATTAAAATCCTAGGCTAGAGTTAAATATCATCTAATCCTTCAAGAGAAACTTTTTTCCCCCCTGATGCATACCTGAAACATTAATTGTTGCTGCAGCTTTTGCAGTGCCATAAGTCTCACTGTGCTTGTTAGTGGCTATACAGGTGAATAAACCTGGCCGAGTGACATAAACCTGCAGCCGGGAATCAATCATTCTGTTTTCTACTGTTTCTACAATGGATCCAGCTGACACCTAAAGTAAAAAAGAGAAATTGAGAAACTGAGAATGTCATCTCCTGCATAGTCCTGGAGATAGAACATTAAGCAGTTCATCTTGTACACCAAATCATTCTGGACATCCTCGACTTATGACCACAATTGAGCCCAAATGTTTTGTTGCTAAGTGAGACAGTTGTTAAGTGAAAATTACCCTGTTTTCTTGCCACTATGGTTAAGTGAATCACCGCAGTTGTTAAATTAATAACACGGTTGTTAAGTGAACCTGGCTTTCCCCTTTGACTTTGCTTGTCAGAAGGTCGCAAAAGGTGATCACATGACCCCAGGACACTGCAACCATCATAAATGTGAGTCAGTTCCCCAAGCATTTGAATTTTGATCACGTGACCAAGGGGATGCTTCAACAGTCATAAATGTGAAAAAATGGTCATAAGTCATTTTTTCAGTGCCATTGTAATTGTGAACAGTCATTAAATGAACTGTTGTAAGTCAATGAGTTCCATTAACAAGAGTTCCATTAAGAAATTATTTCAACAGCTGAAGGATTCATAAGGCAGTTTCTATGAATATTCAATCAGAATTATTTTTGAGTAGATTCATGGAGACTGATAAGTGTGCATTGTTTCAGCCTGAATGTAATTAAAGTAAAGCAAAATGGCCCATTTACAATACAATTAAAGCATATATACTCATTGATGATAGAATAGGAATCACAATTATGTATCTGTTTATTTTATGAAACCTATGTCCCAACACATTGGTCTTTCAAGTTTAAAACAGCTTAACTGTCATGGTTCTGTAAAACCTTTATTTGATGATACAATGTCTTGACATGTTTAGCAAATTGTATAGGAAATCCAGGGCAATCACAATAAAAACTAACCTAGGAAAGAAGCAATCTAGAACTAAGGAGAAAATTTCTAACAGTGAGAACAATTAACCAGTGGAACAAATTGCCTTCGGAAATTGTGGATGCACCAACATTGGAGGCTTTTGAGAAAAGAATGGACAGCCATCTATCAGAAATAGCATAGGTCTCCTGCGAGAGCAGGGGATTGGACTAGATGACCTTCAAGGTCCCTTCCAACTCTGTTACTGTTTCTGTTATTTTGGTAACTTTCAACAAATTCCAATGCTCTAGCACTTTTTTCAAATCCAATAGAAAAAAAAAAGAATAGTTGTAGATTGTTTTTTTATCATATCAACCTCACTCCAAAATGATTACTCACTCCAAAATGATTACTCACTCCAAAATGATTAAGCAGTGAGACCAGTAGTGGGTTACGACTGGTACTCCCCGGTACGGGTGTACTGGTGCCTGCCAGAAGCACCAGGTACCGTTCCGGTACAGTGCTCCGGAGGGCCCATCCGCACGGATGCACGCACGCACTCCTTACCAGTATTTGAGTTTTTTGGATCTTTTGCACATGCACACGGAGCGTACGGTGTCTGCGCGACACTCCGCCGTGCAGCTGGAGCGTCGTGGAGGCGTTGTGGGTGGTAAGTACATATCCGTGCACTGCACGTGTTTATGTGGTAGACGCCCGGCCCCATTGCACCATACCAGTTGCAACGGGATCCGGAACCCACCACTTGTGAGACACAAGTCCTAATCTGGCCTTTAGCATGGAAAGCACTTGGGTGACCCTCAGCCAGTCATGGTCCCTCATCTCCAGGAAGAAAGGAATGAAAAACCATTGTCAAGAAAACTACATAGGCTTTTCCATATAGTCCAGGACTTAAGATTGACTTGAAAGCACACACACATCCACATACAACCATCACAACTCAAAAGATTTGCCGAATTTCATGTGAGTTTGGTGATCTGGCATGTAATGGTCAAAATCTAATAGGATTTCAGATGAGGACATCATCTCACAAGAAATCCGGAGGGATTGAATAATTAACATACAATTATGTCAAGAATCTGAAATAGTGATTGAACCTTAATGTGAAAGCTTAGAACCAAAGAATCTTGGGAAAGGGAATTAATTAATAATTATAAAAGTTGTTTTGGATTTTTATCCTGCATAATGGAACTAAAATTCTCAAAGAAAGAATAACAAGTTGCTTAGCTTCAACCTAACCCTGCCAGGATTACAAAAGAGCTAATTTGTCTGAAATTTGTATCTTTTTCTAGATTCAATGGGGCCAAGAGATAATGTTGCTTTTAAGATTAAACATGATGATTTAAACTTAAAATGTTTCCTGGTGTTGAATGTGTAACAAATGAACTAACGCGGAAATATTTTTCCTAAAAAAATACCATTCCCCCAATACTTGACTGAATAAGAATAAAGATGCAAAAGGGCCAGAGGTGGGTTCCTAACAGTTCGCACCTATTCGGTAGAACCGGTTCGTCAAATCTACCGAACCGGTTAGAAGAGGTTCCA